TGTTTACCATATCAAAGAGGGTGATAGATTATGGTCTTGGAATGTTTACCATATCAAAGAGTCAACTGATGAAAATTGAATGCATGCCGAATAAAGCAATGCGGGTAGTTCTGGGATGTACCACGGTAGTATGTATGCAATATATACTTTCACTGCCTACTATTGCAGATAGGCTCACAGTTCTGCAAGCAAAATCATATCTTAGAGTGGCTGCAGACAACAAGCACCTCCTGCATGAAGCCCTAGGTAGAGCTAAAAGACACAGACTGAAAAGAGGAAGGTCTTGCAAGCTGAAGACATGTGCGCAGGCTTGATAAATTTGGACGAGGAGAGGAGTGGGTCAAAGTGTCCAAGAAAGTTTCAGACTTGAGTAGGGTTCTTATCACTTTAGGTCATGATTGCCGGAGCTGGCCAGGTGGTGCTGCAGAATCAGAGGTTCAACAAATGATTCAAGACAATTCGCGCAAGCATCACTTCAGAGGTCCGGAGAAATTAGCGACCTCTGGATATTTTCTCCATGTCATGCCTGTGTGCTGGGAAATGATCAGGCAGATAGACTGGCCAGTTCTGCATCACTTGGTTGTGAACTGTTTGTATGCCAAGCTAGATATTGTGACTGCCCTTTGGGAACAATTGAACAGTGCGGAAGCGAAAATAGATCATTACCATCTGAGGAGAATGGGGCTGCGGAGTTACCAGGGGATCTGGCCGATGCTCAACACTCAAGACAAAAGCAAGATGGATATACAATCAGACATTTACCCGTACGATCGGAATTTGAGTTCTTCACTTGCTGCTGAAGATGGGGGCGTCCCAAGTGCTGTGATATAAATTCTTAGTTCAACATTCCCTGGGATAGTAGCTAGCCCGACAACTGACTGGAGCAGAAGGAGTTAAAATGTATAATTAATTGCACATGCCATCATGACACACCTATGTTGTATTTTTGGGGGGAAAAGTGATAGGATAAAATAATATTTGAATTTTGTAAAGGGCTAGACCTATAGATAATTGGCGGGTGAAGTAGTCAACATTACACCGGCTGCTTTTACTTCCCAGGACTTTACCTGGTATCCATTTAAGGCTGGGTCTACCTGGGAAAAAAGGTCATTTTTTGAAAACACAATCTGGCTCTATCAGGAGCTGAACCACGACCTTCAGATCTGCAGGCTATGCCACATCTCCCAAGCCAACTTCATACCTACCCTATTCAGAGTGATCTCTTACGTAAATGTATATGGCATTGCTTTGCATATGATAGGCCCCGGATTCATTCCCAGACATCACCACTTGGCATTTGTGGGTTTCATTGGTCAAGCTGCTTGCCTCACACACTGTAAGAATAATTCGACAGACATATTACTCTGTTACGGTTAGTTGCGTATCCTTTATAGGACGTTGCAAAACCAACCCTAGCAGCCGCTGGCTGTTGTGTGGTTTCTCTAGGCAAATGTACATCCAGTAGTTTGCCACTGCACATTACGCTGTACACAAGCATAACTTTTATGCAGATCCCCGTGGATCATTGCTGCAACTACAGAGTTCATTCAGTCAACATGCTCTGCATGTGGAGAGAAATCCAGCTATATGAATAAACCAAAGCAATGAAGACTTTAACTACAATGAATTTTAAGACGTCCATGTTAAACAGTTTTTGTAGCCTGCTTGAAACAGAGGGAAAACAAGAGTTGAGCTGAGTTTCAGTAACTGACATCATAGCCCTCGGGACATGCCCATATGCGCTCCATTCCCATCTTCAGGGCCAGCGAAGAATTCAAATTCTGATGACAACAGCAGCAGTCTGGTTATAAGTCAGTTTTGACTTCCCTCTAAGTGTGAAGCACCGGCAAGATCCTCTGGTCTCTCCCCACTCTCTTCAGACTGATTTTCTAAATGCACCTCCACATCGTTCACTTGCTTCCAAAGGGCCTTCACAACATGTAAGGCATAGGTTTACCACCTAGTGGTGCAGAACTAGCAAGTCTGCCTGTTTGTTTCCAAATGCACCTGCATCTCCTCAAATAAACATCTAAAGGATGCTAACTACCCTGTACCCCTGAAATGATGCTCTGTGAGCCAGTTACAATCACAACACATATGTGCAGATGGTTCTCAAGCCAGCAGAAGGTTGCAGTGACTGCCTCCCCCTTATTATAAAACTCAGCAGTGATAAAGAACATGCTTTGTTGCACTAAGGGTCATCCACTTTTGCTATGAACCCGCACACACTTCTTCTGCCTCTCCGCAGAGCCATCGGTATAGATAATCACACCTCCTGGGTGGGAAATGTCAAAAATAAGTTGAACTTCCGATTCTGCCGTGACCGCTGGCCAGTCTATGCACTTCCAGCCCAATGTGGTTAGAATAACACATAAATCTGATTGCTGCTCTGCCACTTTGACCCACTCCTTTCCTAGCTAAACATTTTCAAGCAAGCAGTTTTCTAATTGCGTCTTCTGCCTGTGCTATTCAACATCCTTTTTTCAGTCAGTGACCCTTAGCTCTATCTAGAGTTTCGTGCAAGGTGTTTCTTGTCTGCAGCTACTCTGAGGCAAACATAACCCCGCTCGCAGCACTTTGAGCCTATCTGCAATAGTTAGCAGTGCAAGTATTTACTTATCACAGGGAGACCAAAACAAATGAAGAAGATGGGACAGAGATGAACAATATAAAGGAAAACGGGGAGGTGGGGGATGATAGGATTGCTCTCCTTGCTAAAAGATTAAGCCCCCCCCCCCCCCCCAGCATGGGAAACAAATGCGGCATGCAGAGAAGAGAATGTGAAATAAGTCTTGGAACATGGCTTTACATCAGGGTGCTCAGTGTTTAGTTAGCATATATGATTTGCATACTAAGTATAAAATAATAAATTTAGATCATGAAACAGCAACATTATTTCAAAATTGTTTAACAATGTAACACACTATTTACATTTCAAAATTTTTACAGTAGAACATAAAATAGGAACATTACATTTAAACAGATTTAATGTCACAAAAAGTTACATCTCTCTAATGCGAAAGATGTTTTGACTTGCCAGGTTGGAGCACGATCGTTCGGCCAAAAAGCCGGCACAATAACAAAATAAGAAGAGTTGTGTTAAATTATCCTTAAATAATGCTAACCCCCGTGTGGGTTCTGGGGTCCTATTGTGGGTAAAACGAGAATAGACCCACTGCCTCCCCAAAAGCATGTCGTAAGAGTCGACTAACTGGGGAGCTTCCTTTGAAGTCGGAGTGCATCTGCCTGAGAGGCAAGGAACCAGCAGTCTGCATTCAATTGAATCAGATCTGTAAAACTGATGCACACGCAACACTCAGGTTCTGGAGCAGGACTGCAGTCCAGAAGTGGACGAATAACCAGAACTTTACGCCAGAGTGTACAGCTGGTGAACGCGAAGAAGAAGAAGAATGCTAAGAAAAAATACTTCAATTAATTAATAAAGTACTGGTCAGGAAAGCTGAAGACAGCTGAGCAAGGGATAGACCTATGCTGGAACGGGGGGTGGGGGTGGGGGGTTTCAACACACTCATGTCATGAATTTTAATGTAACTGGAAACATTTTACTGACATCTTTTTGATTTCATTCACCAGTTAGTTCTCTTTTCATTCATGGTTTCCGTAGAACTTCTGTATCTGACTGCTTTGGTTTCCATGAAATATAGTGACTACCTTTTTACAGTATTTCTCTGCCTAATATAGTGACGCTACCTATTTACAGTCTTTCTCTGCTTAATATAGTGACGCTACCTATTTACAGTATTTCTCTGCTTAATATAGTGACGCTACCTATTTACAGTATTTCTCTGCTAAATATAGTGACGCTACCTATCTACTGTCTTTTTCTGCTTAATATAGTGACGCTACTTATCTACTGTCTTTCTCTGCTTAATATAGTGACGCTACCTATCTACTGTCTTTTTCTGCTTAATACTGTTACGTGTTGTAAGCATGTCTAATGATCGGTTTCCGGGATAATACACATTATATACACATAATACAATCGTTGGCATGCTGCATGGTCAGTAGAGTGACTAAGACTAGAAAATTACATGACAATTTCTGATCCTCGACTTCAGACAAAAGAGACTAGTTAGTAGACATCTGCATCAGTCAGGAAGTATCAGTTGAAAGGGAGGGTGGATTCTAAGGATCTACAGTCCATATGTACGAATGACTGACACTGCAACAGATTAGTCATGAGTGAAATGTGACTAACATAGCTACACTAGTTACAGTGACAGGCTAGAGATATCAGGGCTACACTAGTTACAGTGACAGGCTGGAGGTATTAAGGGCTATTTACCATGTCAATGGTTTAGTGGCCTTAAACCTGTCATGAGAAATGCAACATATTGTAACAGTTTCTAGGATTGGATATGACGAAGGTCAGGCTGGACGGATGGTGCGTGACATAGATATTTAACACCTGCATGTTTTTCTGCCTAGAAAGTACATTACAATGTTACATAACTGTATTATTTAAATAATTAGACAATGTATAAAATAACAAACATATACTCTGAGAACTAGAACACTGTATATCCCAATTACAACCTGAGGGTTCAACAGAATACTGTTTTTAAATTACTACTACGATTACCCAGAGTGCTGACTGATATTTCATCTTGTAATAAAGGTGCAATGTGCAAGTATTTTAGAAGAAAGAGAGTTGTTTTTATGGTCATAACCATGTGGTAGCAGCACTACCTAAATATTGATCTCAGTGAGGAACATTTCAGATGCATCCATGTGATTCTCAGGGAGGAATGTTTCAGGTGCATCGATGTGATTGGTCTATTCTATGTCTGTCTACATGTCATCAATGTTGCATGCAAGTCACTGAGAGAAGCCGGTGGGCAACTCTTCGACACAGTGTGCTGACATGAAATCTGACCTACTTTTCCACTATTATATATAGTCTTGACTAATATCCTCCATTGCACTGACATAAAATCTGACCTATTCTTCCACATATTAACATCCCTAGAACAATAACATTAAATTAATTTCCCATCTCCTTGCCTACTAGGATCAAACTCTTCCCAAAGTCGTTGAAATTCTGCCACAAACAAGGAAGACACAGCATCGTCATCGGTAATAATAACGTTCTCTTGGTTGCCTGTTATTGCCTGTGCTGTCCAATTAAAAGATCCATTTATAAGAACTTTCTCATCAATGACCACAAACTTGTGATGCATCAAGTATGATGAAGGATTTGTTCGTACAGGAATACCTGGGGATAGAATTTTAAAAGTAAAATAAGCAATGTAGAATTATATGAACAAAGGTTTTCAACACAGTTCTAACAATTAAACATTAAAGCAGTTTTAGGCTACTGGTGGATAAGCCATATGGTGCTAGACAAATGTTTGTTTAGATGAATTGGCAAATGATGGATGATTTGACTTATAAGCAGTTTTCCACTTCCCTGCCTGAAAATTCCTGTTGCATTCCCCTTGCTATACTAAGAGTCTTACGACAAATCTTTAGACTGGACCCATCAAAGATGCAAACAGTGAGCAATTGAAAGAGAAGCAACAATGAAATCCATAATCTGTTTAAATCACCACTGATCACTGGCATCATGATGGCTAGTAGACTAAAATGGCTGGGGCATACTGAGAGAATTTCCTATGACAGAGAGGTAAAAACTATACACAAGGGAGCTGAACGGCCGTAGACCACGAGGCAGACCAAGAAACCATGGAGAGATAATGTCAGACACATGAAAATGTCAGAAAAATAAGTACGCTGCCAAGGTGGCTACAAGAAGGCTGACTGGACAATGTTCAAACACCGTACCAGTATACTGCTTGGAAGTCTCAGCGTAGACCAGGATATAAACAAAGTAGTTAAAGAATTTAACAAACGCGTACGACAGGCATCAGAAGAATCATTACCAAGAGGTGCCCATAAGCATTATAAGCCATACTGGAATAGTGAACTAGAAAATTTACATAACAAAGTGGAAACATCTAGAAAGAAAGCAGAGACCAGGCCAAACCAAGAACATCACAATAACTACCAGCATGCAAAAGCAAAATTTTTAAGGGCAAAGCTGCAGGTTAGAAGGAAAAGCTGGCAGGAGAAAACAAGGTCACTGAACTTTGAAAAATACAACATAAATTTATGGAAGCTTGTAAAACAAATTAATGATGAGGACACAAGGTGGAACTCAAAGATCATGCAGCAGAAAGATTGAAACATGGTCACAGGAAAAGAGGCAGCCAACCTCTTTGCAGACACTTTTGCTTTAGATAATGACATTGAAATCAGTTCAGATAAAAAAATTAAGAAATTCAAGAAAAGACACTATTCAGAAGTCAGACAGAAATAACATCAGAGGCGCTAGAGGTGCCAATTACACTTAATGAACTGGAGTTGGCCATTTCATGCTGAAAATGTGGAAGTCACCAGGAGCAGATGGTATCTCTAACGAAATAATCAAAAACTTAGGAACAGTAGCCAAAACAAAGCTTTTACAGATATTTAATGCTTGCTGGGCAACAGGAAATGTTCCACAGATCTGGAGAGAGGCAATTATGATACCCCTCATAAAGCCTGTGAAAAACAGTTCCAATGCCTCTAGCTACAGATCGATCAGCCTCACAAGCTGTCTCTGCAAAACAATGGAGCGCATCACCAACCTCAGACTACAGTGGTACACTGAAAGTGAAAACATTATTACACCACAGCAGGCAGGCTTTTGAAAATTCTACTCTACGGAAGACCTGACAACATACCTCTCCCAAGAAATAGAGGATGCTTTTCAAGATAGTTGGCTCTGTGGTCAAGTCGATGCGAACGCTTCGTAATGCCGGGTTCGATTCCAGCTGCGGGCAATGAGCCTTGCGTTGGTTTCGACAGTGGTCTCAAGAAAGCTGACCATCCAGAAAGCAATGACAAACTACTGGATGTAAATTGCCTAGAAAAACCACACAACAGCCAGGGACTGCTGGGGCTGATTCTGCAACGTCCTGTAAAGGATACGCAACTAACCTTTTTTCAAGATAAGAAACTGGTACTCGCGGCATGGATCTGAAGGAAAGCTTTTGACAAGGTTTGGAAGGAGGAGCTTTTGAAGAAATTGAGAAACTATAAAGTAAATCGAAGAATGTGCAATTGCATTAAAGCATATCTACATAACAGAAGAGCCCAGGTAGATGGTTTCAAAAGTAAACAAATTCTACTGCGACATGGCGTCCCTCAAGGTGAAGTTCTGTCGCCCACACTTTTCCTCTATTTCATCAACCACCTGGTTGCTGAGATACCAAATGGAATAAAAATATCAATGTATGCCGACGACCTGGTACTGTTGTGCACCAATGAACATGCAACGATAGCCACAAGAACACTACAGAGGCTACATATGCACTTGAGGCATAGGCGAATAGATGGTGTGTCAGCATCAATACATAAAAATGTAGCACCACACTCTTCACTCTCTCCCCAAAGCAAAAAGCAGGCATCATCAAAATAAACAGAATACCCCTAAGAGATGATAAACAGCCCAAGTTACTCGGAGTCACATTTGATGACAGCTTGACATGGAGAAAACATATCAACAAGGCAGCAACCAAAGCCAGAAGGAAGACAGCCATACTAAGAAAACTAAGTGGAACCACATGGGGAGCCGATGGGAAAATACTCAATAAAGTATACAAGCAGAGCATACACAATCACACTTGAAATATGGGTCAACTGCATTTTGTTCAGCATCTAGTACCACATTAAAGGAGTTGGACAAAGTGCAAAATCAAGCACTCAGAATCATTACAGAAGGAAAGAAATCAACCCCCATATTAGAAATGGAGAAAGCTGGGAAAACACAGGCACTAAGAGAACGCAGAGATACAAAGTTGCAAATACAAGCTACAAAGTTCCTAAGTATGCCAGATCACCCCATGAAAAATAGATTTCAGAACCTAGCCTTGGGACGGTTAAAAAGAAGCAGCTTTATACATCAAGCAAAAAGAATATGTAGACAAACTGCTGACCTTCCAGAAATTGGTTGTCCACTTAAAAGTATTCCAGAACAAACCGCATGGAGAAAAAAATGCAAACTAACAGTTCAAATCTAGACAAATATGAAAGGGATATTTGACAAGAAAGAGCAAAATAAGATAGTGTACAATGCAGAATGGCCACTCTGTTATATTGATGAAGAATAAATGGTGGTGCTGGAGTGTACATACATAGAATTCCCAGATGGTACTACTAGGGATAAGTCCAGCGCACCAACCAGAAAGTACTGCCATAACTAATAACTAAATAACTATGATGCAGAAACTCAAGCTATCAAGATAGCAACAGAGAAACTGCTAAATACCAATCTTGGCTCACAGTATATGGTTATGCTGACAGATGCAAAATCAGTACTTGAAGCACTCCAGTCTAGGAAACTACCAGAACTGCAAACTGACTGATCCCCCCCCCCCCTCCCCCCCCCCCCCTTTTTTTCAGATTGCTGTCTCCAAATGTGATGATGCATTCCATTCTGTATGAAAATTCTATTTTTTTTTTTTTTTCTTCTAAACTCCAGGCACCCATTCAACCTAAGTTAGAAAAGGTCTTTAAAAGTTATTTGTATATTAGGTTTCCCCACAAGTGTATTTCTACACCAAGTGTGAATTACAAGCTGCTAGGGATACTCATATTGCCTTTGTGTTTGTCTTACCTTCTTTCCTTAACGACCATATCTGTGAACCAGAAGAACGAAGCTGCTCACTGTCAGAGATAATTCTTATTTTGACTCCTCTTCTGAAAAGTCTGGACAAAATGTCTGCCAGGTCTTTACACGTAATTATATATACACACACGTCCATAGTTTTCTGGCAATCCAGCATGTGTCTATATAATTCACTCAACGATGTTTTGTTGTGAGAAAACCGGCAATTGACTTTCATACAGCCGTTTCCTGTAAGAAAATGCTCCCTACATGCCACATCTTTGTCAGGAAAAAACAGAACTTGCAACGACGTGCTGCTCAATCTACTTTCACTTTCGGTTTTATTTCCACTACTCCGACTACCTCGGCGTTTCCGTCCACGAGAATACAGCTGATAGAGAATTTCGCTGACCACAAATATTGTAATCGTGTACAAGGAACCTTTTATTGCTGAAATCATTGTTTATTACAGAATATACAAATCTCAATTACCAGTACACAGTCTCGCACATTTGTCAAATATAGTCTTCGGAATGAAATCAAAACAAACTACATACATTTCATCTTTCGAATTTGTGCTTCCGGTACATACTTGAAGTTCGTCGGGTGAAGCCTTAACTTTTTTTTTTTAATAATTCGCATAATAACTCAATCATCAACTTCATGTTCAATATGTATAAGAAAGAGCGTTCGGTCATAGTTCAACTTTACGCACTATCGCGAGCAGGGGCGCCAGAACCTGACACCTTCGAGAGAACGGACACCATGAAATACCTGGGCATGACATTTGACAGATGCTTGTCATACAAATGCCACGTAGACAACGTCATACTTAGAGCCAGGAAAGGTTTGACAGCACTCAAGGTGCTAGCAGCAGCTGATCTTGAACAATGTCTACTTTTCCTTCTCTATCAAGGGCTTGTGCTTAGCGTCATTGACTATGGTCTTGGCCTCCTCACTGTCAGCAAAACCCAGCTAGAAAGACTGGACCGAGTACAGAATGAGGCCATGAGACTCATACTCGGCAGGGATCAAATTCCTGCGGCGGTAGACACAGAAGTAAGGGAACTAATAGATCAGCATTCAGACCCAGAAGATACCATCATCTACACAGATGGATCCGTGAAGCGCGGATCAAGGTCAGCATGGGCATACACAGCGCAAAGAAAGGGGAAAACAATACATGAGGACAGCGGCGCTTACCAGACAACCACGTCAAGCATGACAATGGAAATAGCCGCTGTTTCTAGAGCTTTAGCATGGGTATCCAAGCAAACCGCCACACAGGTAGTAATTGTCTCAGACTCAATGAATATGCTTCAGAAGATAGCAACAGGCAGAATGCGCTCTGAATGGATAGAAAGTATTAGGAAATCGCACCTAACCTCCGTAACCTGGATCTACACACCGGGTCATGCGGGCGTGAAGGGAAATGAGCGAGCAGACCAACTGGCAAGCACTGCACTAATGATTGCGGGAAAAAGTATGGACAGAGCAGACATAGTCAACGCTGTACGAACTGTGCTAGTGGAGAATGAGGAATCCCTGACACTAACACGATTGCGTGACATGGGAATTAAGCATGGTGATGCACGTCTTTGCCGTCTTCGAAGCCGAGAAAGGAGACAATATAATCAGCTTCTCATGGGGACAATTAGTAGAAGTACTTTAGAGTGGCTGCTGCTTCGGAGAACTGAGCACGCATGGGTATGCCCAATGTGCAGTGACATTAATTGTGATAACAGAACATAAAATAACATCTTAGTAAGGAGTCGGCAGTACGAAACCCAAGTTCAAGGTGTCTCCTTTGTGCCAAAGAACTGCATGGCTGTTGGGTGAACAGTCGTTAACGATGGCAGGCAGGTCGTTGTAGGGGCGACGCCTGCTGGTGGATGTAATGTCCTAAGTCCCTTCCCCAGCTAATAATGAGGGTACTGCTGGGGTGACCGTTTATTAACCCTCATATAATTCTTCCGGTCAAAATGGACGCTAGGTACGGCCACCATTTTTTTTAAAGCCATGGCAAATGTGTTGTTTTTTTTAGCCAGACGGTGGTCGTTACATTTTTGCTCCATTTGTAGACTGGAAGGATGTAGTTTCGTCGCCCAGCGTCTGAGTTGAGTGGATGGCGTGACACTGTGAGCTGCGTTTGTTTTTCGTTGGCACAGGAGCGGAGCATATGTGGGGTGACCCATTTGCTATGAAGCTGAAACTAGGATTACCAGATAACCAGATTACCTTAAGCCACTTGAGCCCCGCCACAGTAACTTTAGGCGGCTGATCAACCCCCGCGCCCAATCATTTTTGTAAGGTGACTAAGCAGCACCCATTTTAACCACGCACAAAAATTACATTTACGGGTACGGTACATTTAATGATTTCAAATGTGTCATTATATTTATTTATCACTCAGTACAGTATTATTATTATCTCTTAAACTACGTGTAGGGCCCTTGAACTCTTTCACTTTTGTATTGAAAATGTGTGAGTTATGATTTGGGTTATATTCACGGCACTCCGGGCATGTCCATAGGTGCTCAGATTTCCCCTTCAACATATGTATCAGCGTCCCGCGATAGTCCCAGTCCTGTGTTGGTTGACAAGACTTCTCGTGTGTCCGGTGTGCTTCTCGTGCCTGGTTGTGTCGATCTTTACTCTCCATTCTTGCACTCTTAGCAAAGACGTGGATGTGCTGCTCCCAAAATCCTTCGATCGTCCTACCTCTCTAATGGCGTTAACAATGTCTGCATGATCCATGGGCCGGCCCTCTGTAACGGGCACAGCCGGCTAATCTATCTGCTTTTTCATTGCCAACAATGCTCTCATACACTGGGATAAAGATTAAGTTAACTTTACACATAGTGCAGTTTAGCAATGACTCAATCCAGTCTGTGTACAAAGCCCGCCTCAACTCGCCGTATCCTACTCATGGAATCAATCAGCACACACAGGTTAGAATAGCCCTGCGATGCTAGCCCTACGAAAGCTCGTGTAACCACCATCACCTCCTGTGTCATGGTGCTAGTAGTCATACAGAAGGCCCCACTGATCTCCTGGGCTGTCCTGCCTGTCGTATGGCGACAAGGGGGGGGGGGGGGGATTTTCACTCTACACGAAGCACACCTTTCTACCATATGCGTTAATGCGAGTGTATGCTAGATATGCTGAGACAGCAGTCTGTCAATCTTTCCACAAGGGACTGTGATAAACATTCTGGGTGTTTTTCGCTGGCACAGGAGCGGAGCAAAGATGGGGCGACCCGTTTGCTATGAAGCTGAAACTAAGACTACCAGACTACCAGACTACCAGTCTCAGCATACTCTGAGTCGGTTACAATCACGACATGTGGGCAGTTGATCTCAACCCGGCGAAAGCTGCTGGGACTGCCTCCACCTCAATTTTCAAACCATAAACGATAACAGTTTGCCTTTATATAAACCCCCATGCACTGCCTATACCTCTCAACACAGTGTTTGGCATCGATAATCTCATCGCCTGAGCGAGAATTGTCTTGAATCAGTTGTTGAACTTCTAATTAAGCAGCGCCCTCTGGCCAGTTTCTGCACTCCAGATCAAATGAAATTAGAATTCTCAACAAATCAGGTTGTTGCTCGGACACTTTGACCCACTCCTCTTCTCGTCGAATATCAAGCCTGAGCACGTGACAAATTGCATCTTCGGCTTAGGCCACCCACGTCCAGCTGTATGTATAAATCTGGAGCTGGCCGTGGGCCACCCAAGACCTTACTATCTTCAGTATGTGATCCTTTGTTCTAGGGCTTCATGTAGGATATGTTTCTTGTCTGCGGCTGCTCTAACATATGTGTGTTTCCCCGCAGCACTTTATAGAGCCTGTGTGTAATAGCCGGTAGTGCAAGTTTGTATCGCATACATACTGCCTATGTATCTCTTGTGTATTTCCAGAATTACCCTTGTGGCTTTATTATGTATGCGTTCAAGTTTCACGAGTTGACTCTTTGATACAGTAAAAACTTCGAGCTTATAATCTGTCACCGAGAGGTTCAAATGATGGAAGAACACTGCGAGCAGCAGTCATTGGCAACTATAATATTGTGCGCATTAAGCGCCATGTGATGGTATTTGATCTTGCTGCATTCTAACCAGATGGTCAGACTACTTGATCCAGTAGTAGTTGTCGTTCCCACAATTTGTCCCATGGTTTTATTATTCATTTGTTCCCACAATTTGTCCCATAGTTTCATTATTCATTTGATCTCGGATGGTTAGGTTGGCAGCCTTTCTCATGCATCTCATCTCGCAGGTGTTGATTTTGCGTACATGGGCTTTAGATGGTGTCCATGTCTAGCACTGATAGCTCAATGTTGGAATGAATTTGCTGTTTATAACCTGTCTCTGTGCACTCACAGTTATATGCTTCTATTGCTTTTTATTCTGAAACTCGTTATATAGTGATAGGAACTCACAATACTTAATGTAGCAGCATGACCAGAATACCTGCACCATCGACATCTAATTCTCCCTGCACCATGACCAGAATACCTGCACTGTTGACATCTAATTCTCCCTGCACCATGACCAAATACCTGCACTGTTGACATCTAATATCTCCCTGCACCATGACCAGAATACCTGCACTGTTGACATCTAATATCTCCCTGCATCATGACCAGAATACCTGCACTGTTGACATCTAATATCTCCCTGCACCATGACCAGAATACCTGCACTGTTGACATCTAATATCTCCCTGCACCATGATCAGAATACCTGCACTGTTGACATCTAATATCTCCCTGCACCATGACCAGAATACCTGCACTGTTGACATCTAATATCTCCCTGCACCATGACCAGAATACCTGCACTGTTGACATCTAATTTCTCCCTGCACCATGACCAGAATACCTGCACTGTTGACATCTAATATCTCCCAACACCATGACCAGAATACCTGCACTGTTGACATCTAATATCTCCCTGCACCATGACCAGAATACCTGCACTGTCGACATCTAATATCTCCCTGCACCATGACCAGAATACCTGCACTGTCGACATCTAATTTCTCCCTGCATCATGACCAGAATACCTGCACTGTTGACATCTAATATCTCCCTGCACCATGACCAGAATACCTGCACTGTTGACATCTAATATCTCCCTGCACCATGACCAGAATACCTGCACTGTTGACATCTAATATCTCCCTGCACCATGACCAGAATACCTGCACTGTCGACATCTAATTTCTCCCTGCACCATGACCAGAATACCTGCACTGTCGACATCTAATTTCTCCCTGCACCATGACCAGAATACCTGCACTGTTGACATCTAATTTCTCCCTGCATCATGACCAGAATACCTTCTGCATCTGATTTTACACTCAGCTAACTGTCAAAACATAGGCATCTTTGAAACTCAGAATAGGACACTGCAAAATCGGAGTATGCTCACATTGAATGAGATGTACTTAACAATGCTGCATGTGGTTGTCGCTCTCAAAGCAAAAGCCAGAGCATGTCTTACAGGCTGACCATACTTTGCCAGTTAGAGAGAAGAAATCTGGCCCATATGAGCATTCTCAGAAAATAAACTATTGGGCACCAAAGCATCCCCAGAAGACAAGCTAGGCACCATCCCTACAAGACGATCTTTTGGGCATGAGTACATCCCTACAAGAAAGACTTCTGGGCACCAGAACATCCCCCCCCCCCCCAAAAAAAAAAATATTGGTTCTCAGAACACCCCCACAAGATAAACTACTGGGCACCAGAACATCCCCACATGATAAACTACTGGGCACCAGAACATCCCTACATGATAAACTATTGGACACCAGCAAATCCCCACATGATAAACTATTGGACACCAGCAAATCCCCACATGATAAACTATTGGACACCAGCAAATCCCCACATGATAAACTATTGGACACCAGCAAATCCCCACATGATAAACTACTGGGCACCAGAACATCCCTACATGATAAACTATTGGACACCAGCAAATCCCCACATGATAAACTATTGGACACCAGCAAATCCCCACATGATAAACTATTGGACACCAGCAAATCCCCACATGATAAACTATTGGACACCAGCAAATCCCCACATGATAAACTATTGGACACCAGCAAATCCCCACATGATAAACTATTGGACACCAGCAAATCCCCACATGATAAACTATTGGGCACAAGTGAAGACCTCAAGCGCACCATACTGTTTATGACCCTGTTTGAATAGACGCATAGCAAACATAGATCGTTGAAGAAGAGGATCGTCTGTAGTTTATCATTAATTTCTTTATTGTGAATAATCATAATGGCAGGTGACAATAAAGTTAAAATCAAGAGGAATGACTTCAATGCACTGGATTATTCCATTTAACTCAGTCTCTCTCTGCAGAACAGCTAGCCACCTACAGATAGGATCACATAAAGCACAAACTCTGTAGCTCCAGCAATGATCCCCAGGGACATCTGTTAACTGCACCCGTGAACTGAACAACCTTCAGAGTGTGAGGTAACGGCTATGAGAGTACTTTGACCTCTATGTCTTTGTATGTCATTCCTTACTGATTGGGATAACATCAACAAAGGCAAACAAATCAGATAAATATCTGCACAATCATCAGCATCAATGGTCATAAGAAAAAATATATTGGGCACATTATAGCAGCCGCCATGGTGTAGTAGCCCCAAAGTTAGCGGGTTCAAATCTGTATGGAGCTGGAGTATTTTTTCATTCAAACATAACCGGGGCTCCCAGGTCAACCCAGCTTTACATGGATAATAGGCAAAGTCTTGGGAGTCCAAAAAAGTAAAGTCATCAAGTGTGAGTCTTGCCTATTATGCCTGATGCACCACTGGCATATAAAGGGACCTTTACTTTTACACCATAGAAGCAGTCAGGGAATCACTAAACAGGCACTGACATGACAAATTAATGGAAAACAAGGGCACTTAAGAGAAAACCCTAAGACAGACGTTGTTGAGAGGCTAAAAGGTGCTGGATTGGATTCCATCCATGATTCCCCCAGGATTACTGAAAGGCCTATTTGACACACAATGTGCAGAAAACTGTAAAGTTATTTACATATCTTTCAACAGAACGTTACAAAACCAACCCCAGCATTTCTTGGCTATTGTGGTTTTTCTAAGCACATTTTGCAGTAGTTTGACATTGCTTTCTTTAAAAACTATCTTAAATCTTCAGCAAGTGTGAACCTGTCAAAAATGGGTGACAGGAAAGGTACTGGAAAGTCAAGATGGTCAGTGTGATGCTGAGTATATTATCCATCAAGTGCTGATTCACCTACACAAAATAATGTGTTTAACATCATGTGCTCGTCTCCTTTAACAACACTGAAACACCCAAATGTAATGGTGAAGACATGTAACAAGATCTATTAGCCTCTCCAAAGTGAGACTCCAGGGCAGGGTCCTAACTGAGAAATGATGTGCAATACAAGACTCTTAATGTCTATTAGCCTCCCTTGCTCAATCAAGCCTACCTCACCCTTATGTGGTGGACCCTGTTCTTTCCAGCAAGCCAGTGGAAGGTTGGGGTCTCAACCCCCAGCAGAAAACTAGATGGGACAACAAACGAGGTAAAGGTGAAGGAATGAGCCTACTCTTCATCTCAAGAGATCCTGAAGTCAGAAATACTGGACCAGAAGGCAGATCAGAAACCACAGTAGAGGAGAAGATGCAGACCCAGAAAGACCTGGATAAAGAATTTGGTTGAAAGGATAGGCTTCAAACATGCAGCTGTGATCACTGTACTAGGGCAAGTCAAAGATTATGTACACTTTTGACATAACTTTTCTGACATTGCCTACATTTACTTCTGTCCTTGCTTATTTTATTGTTATATTGTTGTGGTAATGCTATAAAAGTTTGATCCTAATTCTGTTATTTTTATTCCTTCTGTTGCAGACAGATCATGGCTGCTCCATTAGAAGTCTGTACCAAAGAGGAACATCGAGCAGTGACACAATTCTCTGTGGTCGGAGGATGCCAAAGGCTCAGAAATTCATAAGAAGTAGACTACCATTGCAATATGGGGGGAGTGGACTATCATGAGAAGTTTAAAGTGGTCAAACAAATATAACACATGGAGAGGGAGCAGAACGGCCATCAACCTCCACTACAGATGACAACATTCAGCAAATTCAAGAGATGGTTCTGGCGAATTACCATCGATGAGGTAGCATCTACATTAAACATTAGTGATGGTTCTGTCCATCAAATCATCCAAGACAAGCTCAGCTTTCATAAAGTCTGTGCACAGTGGGTGCCAAGAAAGCTTACCGCAGAACACAAGCTCATCCGTGCAACATGTGGTTTCATGACAAACCTAAAATCTTTTACCTGGAAGGAATATGTAATTGTATCGACAGTTGGGCAAAGTACATTGATAAGGACGAAGATTACGTACAAATATGATGTGCACAGAGAAACCCGAGCTTCATGTAAATAAACTGTAAAATGAAAAGTGTACACAATTTTTGACTCTCTCTCGTATTTGACCAACAGAGGTGTCAAACGGTCAACAGCAACTGGTGACCCAGCGACCCAAAAGCCAGTGTTAAGAGACTGGTATGATACTAGGTACTCGATGTGAAAATGGAGTGAAAAGGGTCTTTTGCTTTTGCTGCTAATTTTGAGCTTGTTGAATTTACACTTGATCTTTTTCCATGCGTGTTGTTTGAAAAATCTGTAAATGCACAAATCAAACTGCAACTTGTAACAAATTAATGAAATATTTTTATGTTTTGAATCACATTATTTAAAATAACCATAATTAACAAACTGTGTGAATTACAATAAAAATTGTTATGATCTAAAAAAAAAATTACATTGTACTTAGTAAAACATTAAACATTTCACACAAAAAAAACACACACACACATTAATGAATGTGTACTTAGACAAACAAAAACCTTAATAAATCCTGAGGTAATGCAAACACTTATTAGTCAGTTTTACAACTTCTAACATGGAGAAAAACTAAAACAATTACTACTAAACTACAAATATTCATTAACTGGTGCCTAAGGATAATAGAGGGCATTAAATGGTATGATGGTACCACTAATGTAAAGCTCTGGGAGAGAACTAAACACATTCCAGTAAATAAAGAGGTGAGGAAAAGATGCTGACATCAGATAGCACACACACTGATAATATCTGATAACAATATAACCTAAATGTCATTGCACTGGAACCACCAGGCTAAAAGGGATCAAGGCAGATAAAAAAAAGAAAACACGTGGACAAGGGAACTAGAGAATTAAATTAAACGGATGGAGAGCACTGAGTTTTCCAGACACAGTTTGTGTTGTATTTGGTAGCCTGTTGCTAAAGACTTTGGTCAAAATGTTCAGCTGTATTTGTAGGCATCTTTTCCAGTCCTTCCACTAGGCTTTCTAGTCACCATTTATGTATTTTGCACTTTATAAATATTGTCTCTGATGGAGGTCAAATAAAAACCAATAAAATAAACAAACAACTGAGACTGAGTTGGATAATGTAACAATTGGATGGAAGAGTTAAGAAAACTATCAAGTAAAGTGATCCCAATCAATATGTGGTAAGCTATTTGGCACTAAAAGAGTTAACAAGAGATCAAATGTTTGGTCAGCTTATTAGAATGCAGCTACAACAGCTAACAACAAAGATGCTACACCTAAAAAGATCTTATGCAAGAGCACACAAAGAGCAGATGGACTGATGACATTAAAGACACTGTACATCCACATAGAATGACAATAACCAGTGCTACCCACTGAGTGCTTAACCACAAACTGTTTCTTGTCATTATGCTAAAGGGTAATGGGGTCTCTATGGTGAAGCGGTCAAGCTGTTCGCCCCACGCTATAAAGGTCATGGGTTCATTTTATGGCTGAGTCATTCAGTTCAAGAGTGCAATTTTCACACAGATCCCTGGCGACTGTTTCTGGAGTTGCAGAATTCATGCTTTGTGTGGTGCTCTCGATAGGCAGCCAGCCATTCTGCAGTGGGAGACTGGGCAATATGGGATAAAACCCAGGGCAATGAAGTTGATCATCTAAACTTTAATCTTAATGGTATATATATTTAGAAGGTGACTGATACAAACAACATTCCCCTGGGGGTGCGGGGCACTATCAACATGATATACTGTTCAACCAACAATGGTCAAACATTTATCCTCCTCCTTCTTCTCTGGAGGTTTGAAAGAATCCCAGGGATGACGAGGTTTGTCCATCTCAACTCGCTGAAGCCAGGGTTTGTAGTATCGTAGAAAGTACTGGAAGCTTTTTTGAAAGTGCTCAGATAAGTAGATGCTGGAAGTATCTTTGCTCTTTTCCTACAAATAAACATGAAGATATTATTTATTTAAAACAGTAACCACGATTACGATATTCAATTTAAAGCTGCTCATGATTCAATTCTTTTCTTTTTTCCATATTCTATAAGTGGAGCACAGATCTTCAACCAACACGTCAAACTATTAATCTCTTTCTCTAATTTATATCTTAATGTTGTGGTTTCATTCCTTCAACTATCAACATATATTAATGTTGTGTCTTTTTTTTAGTGTGTACTTAGTACTGTGTACCGGCTGTGAACTCCAGCAGAAAGTTCTGGTTGTTAGTCCACTTCTGGACTTCAGTCTTGTTCCAGTAATTTAATTTTGCATTTCACAGACCTGGCTTACTTCTATGAAGACTGGTGGTTCCTCGCCGCTCAGGCAGATGTGCTCTGACAAAGGAAAAATCCCCAATTAGTCGCCTTTTAAGATATACTTGTGAGGGAGGCAGGGTGTCTATTTTCGCGCGCCCCCCCCCCTCCCCAATTCAGAGTCAGAGCCTATGCAACAACAGTAACAAGATTGTGGGTGAAGTGAAACTGAACAACCAATGTCCCAAAGCAACAGTCACCTGTAGGACCCTTATCCCAATGTCTTCAGCTGCACTGGGTATATGGTGCTAGACTCCCTTTTCTATAAACCAACAGGCACTCAGTGGGTAATGTAATCAAACCATGACCACCAGGTCAGCCTGCTAGCTACCGCATTACACAGTGTGTGTACTAACCATTCATGGTGAAGTGGGTCAAGCCGTTTGCCTAGTGCTTTGAAAGTCGTGGGTTTGTTTCACGTGGTGCCCTTCAGTTCACGAGCACAATTTTTAGCGAGGTCCCTTGGTATGGTCACCAAAGCTACGAAGTTCATGCTCTATGTGGCGCTTTCAGCAGGCAGCTAGCCATTCTGCGAAGAGAGACCTACACATATGTGATAAAACCCAGTGCTATGAAATCGATCATCTTGACTTCAACTTTAACCAACTCAACTAACATTCAGATACTAAGAACAGAGGTGTGTGTTCCTAAAATGACCCTAGTATTTACTTGAAAGTAAGCTGTGGTTTAGTTTTTTTGGCTATCCTCCAAATAACGGTCCCAAATTATTGAGGCCGAAAATATACCCTAACAGGGCCTCAGTCAAATTAAATTGCGGACTTCTAGCGACTTGAATTGCAGACTTCCGGTGAGTACTGCCAATCCCGAGAGTATCTCCTGAAACAAGATGGCTGGTACTCATGAGCAGCAGCTACCGCATCTCCTGCAGCTTTCTTCATTTTATTTGCTCGCGAGTCCCAGCCATCTAGTTTAGCCCCGCTCCACGCCGCGCGTAACGGAGCGGGAAATACTCTCGGCGGTGGCGGTAGTTGTCGGAAGTCCGCAATTTACATGCGACTGAGGCTCTGTTAGGGTATATTTTCGCTCTCGATAATTTAGGACCTTTATTCGGAGAATAGCCCTTTTTTTTAACGTGCAAAGATAATTTTAACTGCATTACACGCACAACTATCAGCCGTATGATAAAACAGTCAGCACACAGACATAACAGTTGGCACCACGACAAAACAGTCAGCACCACGAAATAACAGTCGGCACTCGGACATAACATAGAAGTCGGCATCATGACATAAAAGTTAACACCACAACATAACAGTCAGCACCATGACATAACAGTCAGCACACAGACACACTTAGCATATTGGTTCAACAATCAAAGCTTTGCTATAACAATTGGCACTCTAATACACCCAAAGAGTACTCTAAAACACAGTAATATTTAATTAAAAAAACAAATAAAAATTGTTCCCTTCGACAATTTTATATATTTTTGAATACATAAACACACACATGCATACATAAACACACACACACACATAAGTAAAAAAAAAAAAGTAAAGATCCCTTTCTACGCCTTTTTTTAGGCCTATCGGGCATATGGGAAAAGCGCCCACATTTTTACAGACCATAAGCACTCGGTGGGTGATGTGGTCAGCATTACGCCGGCTGTCTTTACTTTCCCAGGACAGCCCATCCTGGTACCCATTATAGGCTGGGTACCTGCAACGTCCCATACCCCGATAAAAATCCATGCAGCTCGCAGTGGGTTTCGATCGCGGTATGTTGGATTACGAGTCGGACTCGCAACACCTTAGCCACGGACGCCGCACAAACACACATATATACACATAAATTTTTAAAAAAAATATATATATATATATATACTCTGAGTTTATTGGACCTGCCATATAAAAACTCCAGGAAAGTGTGAATAGTGTCATAAACTGGGCCAACAAATGGGGCCTTGAAGTAAACAAGAACAAAATTGTAGCAACACTCTTCTCATTGTCTACAAAGGAAGAAAAGTTTACATTAAAATTCAACAATGATGCTGTTCCACGCTCCAATACTCCAACCTTCCTGGGAGTCAAGCTTGACAGTCGTCTAACATGGAAACATCACATACTAGAAACTAACAAAAAAGCTATGAGAAAACAAGGTGTGATGAAGAAATTGGCAGGCACCACTTGGGGAGCAGACAGTTGTATCTTGAAGCAGGTATACACCGGCACAGTCAGACCAACTCTAGAATACGCATCATCGTCATGGATAACAGCAGCCCATTCCAATAAACAGATACTAGACAAAACGCAAAATAGAAGTCTGCGTACAATTCTGGGAGCCATAAAATCTACACCTATTGTAGAAATGGAAAAGGCAGCCAACATCATCCCCTTAGAAGAAAGAAGAAGGACAAAAGCAATTCTACATGCTGAAAAAATGAAGAGAATGCTAAACCACCCATTACACGTAAAATTGGCTGCCAGGACAAAAAACCGAATAAAGCGCACAACGCTAAACCATCTAACTAAGGAATTTGGAAAGTCATTCTCTTCACTACTTAACCAACAATGTACACCTGAAGAGTTATCTTTTGATCTCTGGGACTCCGAATTATTGACACTCAATGTGTCAACATCCATCCCGAACCTGGGAAACAAAGTTGCTGAGCCCGCTATAGTGAAGAAAGCACTCACAATGGAACACCTCAACAACATGTTCCCACAGGACAGCTGGACGAGAATCTACACGGATGGATCAGCAAAAGAGGCAGCTACGAATGGTGGGGCAGGTGTTTACATAAAACACCCAGATGCCACTACTGTGTCCCTAGCAGCCCCCACCGGACGAACTTGCTCTAACTACAAGGCAGAGCTCTCAGCCCTTTTGATGGCAGCGCAGTATATGAACAATCTGCAAATTACCGCAGGCAGGATAGTTTTTCTGACTGACTCACTGTCAGCTATACAGGCCCTAGAGTCCAAACCTACCGACAGCACACTACAAAGTCTAACACAGGAACTTGCTATGTTGTCAAATAAGGCAGAAATCCACTTGCAGTGGATTCCGTCTCACTGTGGCATCAAAGGCAATGAAAGCGCAGATGCTTTAGCCAAGGAAGGCAGTAACAAACCACAGACCTATCAGCCACTATCTTTTCTAGAAGTCAAAACTCTCATTAAGAGAAAATCAGAAACAGATTGGAAAACCAACACTGGTTATAACTACGGAAAAGATTTTCTGAAACACTTGAACAGAACAGACCAAGTCACAGTTTTTCGCTTACGCACTGGACACTGCAGACTCAATAAACACTCACATAAATTAGGTATGAGCCAAACAGCTCTCTGCCAGTGCCTTCGTGCTGAACAGACTCCAGAACATGTCCTACAAGACTGTCCTCTCCTGGCGGAGCTGCGGAGCGACATATGGCAACACCCAGTAGAACTGACAACTAAGCTTTGGGGAAACCTAAGAGACCTTGAAAAGACACCCCAGTTTATGACCCACTGTGGATTATGCGCATGACCAGAGATCACTGAAGAAGAAGATATATATACAGTGGAACCTCGCTTAACGAGCATAATTCGTTCCAGACTCATACTCGTTAAGCGAAACACTCATTATGCGAAGCAATTTTCTCATAGAAATTAATGTAAAATACGATAATGCGCTCCGTGTCGAAAAAAAATACTCACAAAATGCTATGTAAAAATTATACTATAACATTTATTCAAAGAAAATTATATACATATTTAAGGAGAGTGAATCGTCTTCATCTTTTCTTCAAACGCAGAACGAACCCACATGGAATGCGAATTCGATTTGCAGAAAAAAAAAGTCAAAATAATTATGATAAATAGCTAATTATTTTTTTTTATTACAAAGATGTCCAGAGTCATTTGTTTTTGTCAACACTTTAAAAATTTGGTGAAAATGCGACACAGTATTATCAATAAATTTGCAGTGCGCATAGCCACTTCCTTATTAGGGTGATGCTTCTCAATGTGAGAAGCAACAGTTTCCCATGCTTTCAACATTTTTCTTATTTCGCCAGAAGATTGTTGCTTTTCTGTTACCTTCTCCTCCTCCTCTGACAAACTTTCCTCCAAAACTTCTTGCTGTAAAACAGAATGCAACTCCATAAGCTCTTCTATAGTCAGCTCTTGGCTGTGCTCTTCCACAAACTCTTCGATATCACTGTTATCCACCTACAATCCCATGATAGTGGCCAAAGACACCATCTCGTTGACTACAGGTTCCACAGGTATTGTCTCAAACCCCTCAAAGTCACAAATCGACAACGCTCTCCGGCAAAAGCTGCCTCCAAAAAGAAGTTAGAGTTCTCTTAGTAACCCCTTCCCCCGCCTTGTCGGTCATCTTGAGGCAGGCAACAATGTGGAAGTGATTTTATCCAAAACTCTTTGAGAGTGAGGTTGGTCCCTTCAGTCACCTGAAAACAATGCTCGAAGAGTGCTTTAGTGTAGAGCTTATTAAAGTTAGAAATAACTTGCTGGTCCATTGGCTGGAGTAACGAAGTGGTGTTGGGAGGCAGAAACTGGATCTTGATTAACTTAAATTCATCAGGGAGGACATCTTGTAGGCCTTTTGGATTCATGTACATATATCACAATTTAACACAAGTTTGAGAAAATGTGTGATCACAAGCGACGATGCTACTGGAACGAGTGCTAAACACTGATGTAACATACGCAAAATCCGGGACTTCCCTTCTCCTCGCCACTCGTTATGCGAAACATCGCTCGTTAAGCGAGTCACTCTTTTACAATTTGTTTTGCTCGTTATGCGAATTACTCGTTATGAGAGGTGCTCGTTAAGCGAGGTTCTACTGTATATATATATATATATATATATATATATATATATATATATATATATATATATATATATATATATATATATATATATATATAGAGAGAGAGAGAGAGAGAGAGAGGGAGGGAGAGAGAGAGAGAGAGAGGAAGAGAGAAAGAGAGACCTACACACAAACAAGAAAATATTCATCTGATGTGAGGTAGAGCAGACAGCACCAACAACTCACTGCTTCAATGATTTTTTTCTTTGCTATAGCGATGGACTTTTCAATAGTCCCAACGTTGTGCTTAGTCACTCTCAGGCCCAGGGACTCCAGTGTCTTCAACAGGAACAGCTTGAGTTTAAAGTTGGTCCCAGAGACACCCAGCAAATGTCCCATCACCACAGAATTCGGCTCCAGGTTAGCTTCCTGACAAGGTATCACCAATAAATTATTAGGTAAATAAGAACAGTTAAACCTATGCTTGACTGTACTGATAGTTTACACGAGCAATGTTTTTTTGTTTTTCAAAGGTGAGGTACTCATCACAAAGTATCTACAAAGGTGCTGGTACTCATCACAAAGAATCTACAAAAGTACTGGTACTCATCACAAAGTATCTACAAAGGTACTGGTACTCATCACAAAGTATTTACAAAGGTGCTGGTACTCATCACAAAGTATCTACAAAGGTGCTGGTACTCATCACAAAGAATCTACAAAGGTACTGGTACTTGCTATGAAGTTGTCTATTACAGCAGTGCTGAAAACAAATGATACCTAATATGACCCCTAAAACAAGATGAGGGTATGACATACAATTTTTCTTTAATTAATATCATGAAACCATGAGTTTTGGCTCGGTACTATGGATATCGCAACCCTTCGGCCTTGATTCCATGATAAATACTGTATATCTGGGAGAAATGTGGCTTTTCTGCCTACCCCCAGGCGTGAACCCGGACCACAAGGAGTTCGTCACCTGGTCGCCGCGAAGTCAGGTTTAGCCAACAACGCTAGCGGGCCAGGTTTTACATACCATTGCATACCGCTTAAAAAAAAACACAACAACAATAGCTCAGCACACTAGTACAACACTGACTTTACACTACAAGTATACTGGTAGTATAATGATTTTACATGTGTTTTACACCGACAGTACTAGGTTCAAATCTTCGGTAAGATTGATGGGAATTTTATTTCAGGGCAACAAAAAAGATTATTACCTACAGAGTTCGTGACAACGGCACTACCAAGGCCCTATATCCTCAGGCTCAAGACCTCATTACCTTCTTCTTCAGGCTATGCTGTGAGGCGTTGGTAGTCATGTGTACCCACAACCTTCTGTCTTGTGTACTTTCAATCAACTCTGACACAGATGATCCTCCATAACTTGATGTCACACTGTCCAGCATCTGTTCTCTCAGTCTCCCTCTGCCTCTCCTCCCCTCCAATGTGCCTACTGTCATGATGTACTCGTTTTCTCCTCCTCATTACATGAACAAAGAATGTAAATTGTCTCTTTCTGATGTTGGTAATCAGTTCTCTTTGTGAGTCAGTTTCTTTCAAAACATCCACATTACTCTTTTTATCTGTCCTGAGTATTCTCATCGTTCGTCTACAAAACAACATCTCTACAGCTTCCAAATAAGTTTTTCCTTAATTTATAGGATTTATACAGCTTTCAAGCCTACATTACCTAAAAGGGTGGTACAAACAGGCAGTAATGACCAGTGTTTTTTTTTACTATGTCATTATACTCATTATACACAGGTATAACTGCACAATACAGAGTATACTGAGTGCAATGGCACAGTAGCATTAACATGACAGTGCATTGGTAGTACAGACAGACAATTATGAGTTAGATTATCTTCACACCACTTCGGACACATCCATAGGCACTCAGATTCCCCTCTCAACATATTCTTCAGCGTTGTGCGGTAAATAGTACCAGTCCTATGTTGGTTAACAAGACTTCGTGTGCATCCAGTGTGCTTCTCATGCTTGGCTGTGCCGATCTTTACTCCCAATTAGACAGACAGTATACTGGTGGTGCATTCATTTTAAAGTATACACTGTTCACAGGAACTTGTTCTCTCCCAAAGTGCAGCAACAATCATGACCCTTATCGTACCATTACTTACCTTCATATCCTGCAGAAGCTGCCTAGCATCGTTCTCCCTGCAGCAAGTCAGGGCAATCGCTGCGTATGTTCTCATATTGGGAACCAGTCTCAGTTTTGATACCAGTTTCAGAACAGCCTTTACAAAACAGTAAAATATCTGGTTAGCAGACATAATGAATGTTGTTTATCCATCACAATTCTTCTTCTTCGCGTTCACCAGCTGTACACTCTGGCGGAAAGTTCTGGTTGCTCGTCCACTACTGAACTGCAGTCCTGCTCCAGAACCTGAGTGTTGCGTGTGCATCAGTTTTACAGATCTCATTCTCTTGAATACAGACTGTTGGTTCCTTGCCTCTCCGGCAGATGCACTCCGACTTCAAAGGAAGCTTCCCAATTAGTCGACTCTTACGACATGCTTTTGGGGAGGCAGTGGGTCTATTCTTGTTTTCCCCACAATGGGGCCCCGAAACCCACATGGGGGCCATCACAAGTGATGAGGACCACTCTTTCCTTCATCCATCATGAAACTATATTTAACTGTCTATGAGTCTGAAAGTGACTTATAATTTTAAGCCAAATGCGGACTCTGAAGGATCTAATACAATGAAGTCAGGGAACAGTATCTGCAGATAGAGGACCTGTTATACGGGTCTTTCTAGCCTGTCTTGGCTGTTCAGCTGCTATTTTTCTAGATGCCTCGTAAGTCACTGCGCCTCTTTGGATAGACGTTTGCCCTGTAGTCTGGTCTTGTGCAGTAGCCTCCATAGTGTCCGGGTTTATAGCGAAGGCTTTAACTGATGTCTTTAGCCTGTCCTTGAAGCATTTTTTCATCCACCATGAAAGCGTCTGCCTCACACAGATTAAATACATCCCCCTAATCTCTCGATCGTTCACCTATACTCTCTGTATAGGTTTACACAGTGCATAAAAATACAGTCTGCAAAAATCACAAGTGCATGACTTTAAAAATGTTAAAGTGATAATTGATAAACCAGATTTCTTCAGCGTGTTCTGTTTAAAAGGTTTCAAGTCTGTACTTGGCATTTATCCCATATAGCTCAGTCTCTCTTCCGGGATGACAAGCTGTCTCCTAAAGTGTTGCATAAAGCATAAACTCCACAGCTCCAACGATGATCCAGTGATCTCTGTAAAAAATTGTGCCCTTGAACTGAACAGTAGTCAATGCAACGACCTATGACCTTCGAAGAGCAGGGAAAATCACTTAACCATGAAGATAACTAAAATACCATGTTCTGACTATGTGTTAAAAGTTTTTCTTTCATTCAATTGAAATAGATTATCTATATCTGCAATGTTGTCTCTAGTATGAACTTCGCTGTCTATTGTAATTCACTCAGCGGCCCGTAAAGTCCGACTTGCACCGATGTTTCTCTTGGCCAAAAGTTTTGCCTTGATATGTTGTATTTGGGACAGTCTTGGAGGACATGATCTGTTGTCTCAGGTGCTAGTCCACATGTTAAAAGTAAAAGAATACATTATGCCATCACTAGCATTCAAGTTAAAGAGTTGACACATCAAATTTGGTTAAGGACTATACAAGTTTGCTTGAACTTATCTGATAAGAAGAAACATTGCTTGGGTCTCCGGCGAGTTCTCCTTATCAGGTTTGCACTGTATTATGTAACTTTTACTAACCAAACACTCTAAATCTATTGCTAATACCCTCTCTAATATAGTGAGTCATTAAGCATCAAGCAAACGGTGCTACACTTATATTTCTATGCACTAACTGATCCATTTGATGGGTGGCATTGACAACATCTCACCAGGCATCTTTACTTCCATGGACATTTTCCTGGTGCACATTTTACAGCGGACGCCTGGGAACCAATTTTTTTTTTTGAAAATCTGCCTAGATGCTGAAATGAACCTAAAACCTTCAGGCTGGAAGGAAAGCCTCAATTTACTAGCAGATTCTTTTTCAGCATTCCAAGCCCTTCAGATTCACTGATGCAGATATCCCCCACTTCCATTCATCTCTGTGATTGGTCCTCTTTTTCTAGTGGGTAGCTCCAAGTGTTGCAGGTCTGTATGTTACCTCTCTGTCATCTTCTTAGCCTTGTGGTCTACTCTCATCAACTTTTTTTAAAATGTGAACGTAGTTTTTGTGTGTGTGTCTTTCTGTTATCCACCATATGGGTTATTCTCTATATTACCCAAACCACTGCAGTCTGTCTTTTTGCCCTCATGACACCATCAATTAGTGATGAATTAGATAGACAATGAATTCACCTAGTATACAGAATGTATCCACATGTATTAAAAAAATTACACTATAGAAACAGTTTCACACATTACTATTACCTCAACTGTGTCAACCTGCTTTCTCTGAAATCGTCGAACCATGATGTCATTGAAAATGTCTATGTCTGGTTTTACGCCTCTTTCCTCCATTATTCTCAGCAGATTAAACTCACTCCATTCGTCATTAGGCAGGCACGCCAGAAGTTGCGCATATGTTTTCACATCTGGGCGAACCTGCGAAGCCTCCATATAAGAAATGAATTTTCCGGCACCTCCAAGAAGAGCAAAACGGCCAAATGGAAACTTGAGGTCTCGTAAAGATATTTTGTTACTTCTACTTTTTTCAAGAAAACTGTTGCTCCTGCCAGAATCATCTATCAGTAAGTCGGAATACAATGATTGGCGAATGTCTCCCGATTCAGGGTGATCCAAAATAGTTGTTGGGAAAACATTAATCTCAGAGTTATTTGACTTAGGTAAACTCCCTTCCAATTCATAAGGAGATATCTCTGAATCATTTAACAAATGGGGTGAACTGCCTGGTAAATGGGTAGGTGAATCAATCTTACAAAGCTCACTTCCCTCATTTGCTACAGTATCAACTCTCTCACCAGAAGACTTGCTTTTGTTATCATATACATTCTCTTGTTTGCCGACAGCACCATCAAAAACGTTCTCTCTTCTATGATCAGCACCACTTATACTTGTATCCTGCTGCTGTAAACCTGCAAAGATTTTCATCTGGCTGCCAATGACTTCCAGCTTGTCAACAAACTGTCTCTCCCTGTTAGTCTGAGGGACACCCCTACTTGGAGTTTTCTTATCTTCTCTGAGGCTGGTCTCAAAACTAATACCCTCCAGTAGACCCATTGGTGAACTACCATCAATACCAAGGGAATCCAGATTAAAGCAGGAAGCAACAGTTTCAAGGTCTCCTACGCCACAGTCTCGCGCACTCCTGATCAGCAGATTGAATGTGAATGCGTCTGGTTTTACTCGATACCAGGTCATCTTTTGCCAGACCTGAGAAGTAGAAAAAGTTATGTATGCATCACTTTAACTGGCAGTACCAATTTTTTTTTTTTAAATGAGTTCCCATGGAGATGTAATTAACTCACACACAAAAAAAGAAGGAAAAAAAAGAGATATGCTAACAGTAATTTTGAAAAAAAATATATATACATATTGTCATCTCATCTTGATCTCCCTGTACCTAAGAAGGCTAAAGTAATAACTGCTGGACAGTGCCTATTTTTGTCCGTTATGTGGGGATTCCTAAAGACCCTGCCCTTTTCCCATTGTTCGCATAGCTCTTTTAATTCTTTTTTTGTGTGTCTATATATAATTGTTCATAGTTTACTGTTCTTGACAACTGAGCTAAATGGCCCAAACACTTTATGTGTTTTATTTTGTAATGAAATCTTGCTCTTTTACTACCTCCACTTTCTTCTGATTTCATAATCTTTGATCTTCTCTCTTATATTCTAGTTTTCACACACACACACAAATCACATGTAGGTCTCTTCTGCAAATAAATTTAAATAAGGACATCACAGCTTACATGAACAGACAGAAAAACACAGCAATAATTTACCTTAAAAACAAAATACACTAGAAGGAATTTTTTTTAAATATACTAAAAGTTAAACACCCCCCCCCCCCCCCCAAATAATTAATGTATAAAAGCTGAAGAATATATACATATTTGAATTTTTTTTTATATTAGCAGTTCTGTGTATGTGTGTGTGTGTGTGTGTGTGTGTATATATATATATTACAGGTAAAAATACAGAATATATTAGAAATAAAACAAAGGAATTTTAAAAGTGAGAAAAATAAAGTAACAAATATAAATAAAAGAATATTTTAACAGTAGAAAAAGAACATGCTAGAATAAAAAAGGTCACCTGTAAAGCTCTTCTGAAACCAGCTTCTTTATCAGATATGCAGGCCACCAGCAAATGATTGAAGCATTCCCCATCAAGCCGCAGTCGTGTGGATGTCTCGTCTAGTAACGTGAATGCCCGGGAAAAGTCTCCACAAATGGCAAGAGCTTTCATTGCAGCTTTGACCGTAATCAAATTAGGAAGGACACGTTTTTCTTTCATATAACTCAGGAGGTGTTCTGCCTTCAACAGTGCTTCTGCTGGATAGGGTGAGTTGGCACAGGCGTTAAAAAGGCTTGTGTAAATTCGGTCTTCAGGATCCAAGCCCAGTCGCCTCATCTGCAAGTGTGTGGGTTACAACAATGTGTAGAGAGCACAGCAATATTTCATAAATTAAACATAATAATACATTATTTCTTCATCTGTTTTTCATCATCTATTTTTCCAATCCAATATGGCAAAAAGGCAGGCTGGCACTTTAGTCTTTGCATCATCCCTCACATGTGGACTGAAAGTACATAGTCTCATGGCCAAGCTACTGAGTTAGAGTACATAGCGTGACACTGAGTTATCGATTTTGTTTGTAATTCTTTTTGACCAAGGATCTTTGCACTGTGAACTGTAGACTCAGAAAATAGTGGGCAGTCTGTTACCAAAGAACTAGCAGTGCCCTATGCAATATTATTGCATGTAACTTTAAGTAATAGTTGCAGTAACTGCCATCAACAATAAATTGCAATTCTAGTGGCAGAATGTTTATGTTGGCACTTTTGGCAGCTGCCTTATGATTGTGTATTGGTTTTGCTGAGACCGCAGTCTGTTTGAACTTTGCTTAAGCAGATCGAGATAGGAAGACAATGGTTGGAGTCTGAGAAAACTTCGCCTGACAGGAATCAGTTTTACTGTTGTTCCTCGACACTCTGGGGTAAGAGCTGAGCTGAGTCAAGAACTGACATCACAGCACTCGAGGATTCCCATGCATGCTCCGACCTCATCTTCAGCAGCCAGCACAGAGTTCCAATACTGATGGTACCGGTCACAATCTGGTTATATATGTCCGTCTTGCCTTTCCGCTGAGTGTAGTGAGTCTGGGGTAAGAGACAACGAACAAGTGAAATGGCTTACAGGAAAAGCAATGGGCCATGGAGGCAGGGTGAGTAGATGATTCAGGAGAAGAGGGTGAATCTGCTAAACTTGACAAGATTACAAGAACTTTATGTCAAAAGAGTTGTTGCCAGACATGAAGACCATAAGGTTGCCAAAGAAGAATAGTAAACCAACACAGATTTGGTGCCATCCGTCGCCACACACTGAGTTAGATAATGAAGACGGGGTCTGAGCACTTCTGGACTAGGTGCAATGATGATGATCAGTCGATTAACTAACAGATAGAAAGCAGGAGACTATGGCATAATTATCAAAGCTTAACAGCAGGAACTATAAGAAAAATGCTCACATGCGGCAGTGCAGTGACTGGCATGCTTGCCTCCTGAACTGTTGATTTTTTTTTAATGCTGACCTACGCTCTAGGTTTGAACAGCTTAAAATGGATACCAGGAAAATGACTGGTATGATACCAATCACAACTCCCACTAAGAGCCAGATGGTCTCTAAAACCACAAGGCTAGCACCATATATCCAACACACCTCAGAGGGCCCTTAATTTATAACAGTCTGTCTCCACAGGGGTTTCCGTGGTGCAGTGGTAAAGTCATCTGCCTCGCTTTCTGAAGGTCCTGGATTCATTTCACATCTGCGCCACTGGGTCCCGGACGCAATTTTTATAGACCCTTGGGGATCATCACCAGAGCTAAAGCGTTTGTGCGACGTATTTGGCAGACAGCTAGTCATTCTGCTGATAGAGACTATCCCATGTGGGGAAAACCCACTGCAATGAAGACGATCCTCTCGACTAACTTTATAGCTGTCAGGTACTTCTACAAGACTTTGCGATCCAAAATGTAGGCTTAGGCATGCAAAATGTTAAGCTCTGAAGTTATTTTTGCTTCCGACAGTGCTTAGTTAATGCAGCTTTCACATATGGATGGAAGGGAGTCTACGGTTTCGCTACCTCAGCTACTGAGTTTAGTGCTTGGTGCAGTGGCGCGGTGATTCATGTCACAGGCATTAGGGGAAGTTAAGTCCAACATGATGTGTATAAGGAGATACTCCGTACGTCACTCGGGCACCAGTCCTTTTCTATCCTGGTTGTACGGAACCTCACGCAAGACCCCTACAGCACGTCCTCGTCGTGCGCCACGGATAATGTCTCAAATGAGCATTAACAGAGCTGTCAGGGGATCTCGGAGTTCGGCGGCCCCCAGAGGTGATGTGTCCTTGTGGCTCTCATCAGCCCGCCCCCAAACGCTTGGGTGAAAAATGTTATCAAAACTCATTAGGAACATGAGTAAGTTTGCCAAACGTACAGCCAAAATTACAACCCTTGGTTAAAAGACTGCGGAGTAAAGAGAACACTGTTCACTGCACATCCTCTGTTAACCCTCAGTGTCGTCGTCACCGCGCTGAGGTATACACCACAACAGCAACCATCCATAGGCTGGCCATCCTTGTACATCCTCGGTTAACCCTCAGTGTCGTCGTCACCGCGCTGAGGTACAGCACAACAGCAACCATCCATCGGATGGCTAAGCCTAAATGTCTGACAAAACTAGATCATACGGATCAAAATCTGACCATCAAAATTTTTATTGAACTGAAAAAGACTGAATGTCCACACCCAAAGACCCCACTCGCCCGAGTGTTGGGACAAAACTGATAACGATATGTCTGATGCAGGATGTAAAATACTGTCGGGCTAACGGCTCGTCAAAGAAATTTAACGTGCGAAGAAAAAAAAAGAATGTACCTATCTGTGTGGTCACAAAAGTCCAAAACCCACGGGCTGCTCCCCGCTGACTTCCAGAGGGCGCAGACCCTGTCAGCGGGAGGCCTGATACGGTTGTGAGGTTAAGCAGGCATGTGCAGGACGTGACGATTCCTTGGGTGAGCCTAGAACCAGAGCGCCATGTGCCGGCTCTGCATGCATGGAAGCCTCCTTGGATGGCGGGGAATGCCCATGATCTGCCCCTGCCTTCCCTTGAGGGCTAACTGTTCCACAGGGGGCTGCCCCAAAGGGGTACTCCGGGGGCAATACCTGCCGCGAAGGAGACAAAGTGGACACCACACAAGTCAGGCAACGTCTCGACCCACACAAAACAATGGCCACAGTCACCCTAGAAATAGGCCTGACGTCTTCCTTCGAAGTCGGAGTACAGCTGCCCAGGAGGCAGGGAAATTAAAAACGGTTGTACACGCAAAAATCAGGTCCAGGTGAAAGCCAAAAGTCCAAGCGGACGATTATCCTGGACCTTCCACTGGAATTCACAGCCGGTGATCGATTAAAAAAAAAAAAGTGCTTGGTGCAGCCCTGTGAGCTGTGTTTTTCATATGGAATACCTTTCATCTGTGCAGCGGTTGTGTCGTGGTATTCAAAATGGCCAGCAGTCAGTTTTCATGTGGGCTACCTTATGTAATAATTGTACATGTTCATAGCCATCTTATTATGGCCGACTACTTCCATCAATGACAAACTGCACTTCTGGTGACTGTTGGCTTTGACGCTTCTAGCAACAGCCACATGCATTTACTGTGTAAATAAATTTCTGGACTGTGCTGGGACAATTGTTTGTTCACCAGTTATTCAAATGGGACGGTGAGGGACATTTCATTTGATTTTCACTGGCATAGGAACGGAGCAACTATGGAGTGACCTGATTGCAGTGAAGCTGAAACCTCGACTACGACTCTATGCAATCTCAGGCTAACAATCTCTTACCTGCACAAAGAGATCAAATGCTTTCTTAGTGTAGCCCACTCGTCCCAGTATTCCTATCAGGACAACAAATGTTCTTTTGGTTGGCATAACTCTGTCACGAACCATCATCCAATCCTCAAATATAGCAATGGCTTCTTTGACCTAAGCACCAGAAATACAATTAAATCTCAATGAATAATTTAAGACACAACCTTAGACACCACAAAACATGAAAGTTGTTTATGTTCACTTCACTTTAACATTTTGGCTGAAAGAGGCTTGTGGAATCTTTTCTTGTTGGAATGGCATCTAAGAAGTGGCTCCCTGGGTATTAAACCTCTAGATTGTGTCTGAGATGGAGACTAGAGAATTGAACGCTTTAATACACCCAGTACAACCTTCTCCTCCACTTCTGTATTTAATCTTACCCGTGTGGATTCCGGGGCCTATTAAAGGGAAAACAAGAATAGACCCACTGCCTATCCAAAAGCTTGTTGAACGAGTCAACTGATTTGGAGCTTCCTTCGAAGTCGGAGTACATCTGCCTGAAAGGCAAGGAACCAGCAGTCTGCATACAAATGAGTTGGATCTGTAAAACGGTTACACACACAACACTCAGGTTCTGGAACAGGACTGCAGTCCAGAAGTGGACGAACAACCACAATTTTTTGCCGAAGTTTACAGCTGGTAAACGCAAAGAAGAAGAAGTATGTAATCTTCAAATTGAGTGTAGGCATTTATGGTAATTCCTCTAAACCGCAGTCCCAATATGGGACACAATTTTTCATTATTTTGAAGCCCCACTCCGGCTGTTGGCGAGGTCTCTAATATAACCATGGGTTGAACAGGGTTTCCTGATCAGAGGACAAACTCTATGATAGGGCTGCTTAACTAAGTTTATTCAGGGGCCAACATGTTGAAAATGAGGATCATCATAGACCAAAGGCCTGAGCCTCAGAAAAGAATGATCATTAATACAATAAAACTAGCAATAATCCGCAAGCCACTTGCCAGGCCAGATTTGGCCCGCGAGCTGCCAGATGAATGAATAGTCATGCTCCACAGAGATGTTAACAAGCTTATATTGACTGCTGGATGTCTTAAATATATTCAGGCTGATGCTTAAGATAAAATAAAAAGAGGAGGAAGAATTCAAAACAACAGTTGTTTCAGAGAGATCAACATAAAGTATAACCGATGCTGAAAAGTTACTTATTTCTTCTGTATCTTCTTCTTCTTTTCTCTACTCCTGGAATGCCTCAGAGTGTCAGGGAAGGAAGAGATCTCCGGAACAGGCCCTTCTGTTCGCTTCGCATAAAGTACTTTTCAGTGTCTCTGATATTTCTACAGTCAAACTTCTGCGTTGTCGACCTCTGGCTCTGTTACTGCTGTATCCGTTAAACATTGCTCTCTGTGGTGCCCTGTCTGATGCCAATCTTGTTACATGCCCAAACTATTTTATTTGTTGTCTACCTATAAAGTTTTGGTTCTGTGCCAACTCTTCTACTGATCTTCTGTATGAATGCATTCCAACTGGAACATTATACGTTGTTTATTATACTAGAGCAGGGACGATGCTAAATAGTATAGGAACTCCTACCTTTCCCTCACGGCCTGCAATAGACATCTTCCTTGTATAGTAATAGCTGTTCTTGTTAATTCTGCCTTGTCTAGACAAGGGGATATTCAGGCGGGGGTCTCTTCTCTCGTCAAGATCCTCTGGTAACTCTTCATCAATTCTGTAAATAAATGAAAACTTCACTTGTAAACAGTGTATGAGTTTCCCGTCGATACAACATTAATTTGCATAGGTTAACATGCTGGCAGGGGCAACAGTAGTGCAGAGACTAGATTAAGGCCATTCCACTAAGTTTACCCAGGGACCAAAAAGTTAAAATGGGGATCGTCACATTCGAGAGGCCTCAGCCTAAAAATATCATTAATACAAAACAGTCTGCAGGTGATGCGCTGGCCACCTACTATGCCTCTTTGGCTCAAATCTACAAAGAGGTTAATTTCTGTAATTTAAATGAGCTCTTAGATCGACCCAGTCTAAAACAGCTACAGGGAATAAATGATACAGTTACTTGGCTGCAATTGTGGAAACAGGATGCCATGGACTATGTTTCATGGAGAGGGGAAAATTAGGAAAGGAACTGGGTAAAGGAGAAAATGATTGCAGATGGGTTCAGGGCTGAGTGTCTCGGAAGAAGCACAGTACATACATGTGATGGCAACAAAGGTGCTGAAATCACATGCTTTAATTGGAAAACATTAAAAGACTAGTCACACATACGATCACCAGGGGTTGTGATTCTTATGCCTTCCTATAGCCGAGCATAACACTATCTTCTAGAAAGACTGAAAGGTGCCAACAACAACAACAAATACACAAATAAAAAACAGAGTGACTGTAGATGAGCTGATATCAAGACATACTAAACAAAACGCTTCTTTTTTCTGAGCTTACTGGTCACCTGTTCAGTTTGTTCAATAATTTGCCATTGCCCCCCAATGGTCAATGCTCATACCATTGTTGAAATCAACACAAAGCAGTGATTAGTGGTTAGAAAGGATTATCATTACAGCACTCCAGACAGATCCATAGGTGCTTCGATCTTCTCCTTAAAAACTCCTCAAGTAAAAAACGACTGATGACGCCTGTTCTGTGTTGGTTAATGAAACGTCTTGTCCTCTTAGTGAAATGTTCATTTCTTGCAGCTCAAGGTTGCACCCCCATGTCCATCAGTCTAGTCAGGGATATGGAGTCATGACCTTTGGCGTGCTCCTCGGTACGGTAAGTGCAGCGCATAGCATTGACAACATCACTTCTGTCCAGTACTGGGCCAGATATAGAAATTGCAGTGTCATCAAAATAGTCTGCACGTTCCTTCCTCTGAACACCCCCTCATGACCTGGCACATTAACACAAAGCAGTCTACTACAAGAAGCAAACACTGCATAAATGTATGTGGAGTAGGTCACGCTGACCTTCAGTGGAAAGGTAAGCTTTCTTTGAAAGAGGAACCAAGAAGAAAAAACAAATCTGTTTCCAAAGTTATCTCTGCAGAAACCCGGTGGCTAGCTGCAAGCCCAAAGGCTTTGGGTTTGAATCTGCACCTGCCTGGATTTTTTTTTTAATAACTAATATGAGCTCCCTGGCTGACCTGGCCTAGAAAGGTACCACAACATATCCTTGGAAGCATAAGCATCCAGCATGATGCTGACCTCATTTTCCAGCCAGTAGTAGTTGGGTGTTGAGATATAAACGGACATCACAGCATTCGGGACATTCTCATGTGCTCTGTCCTCATCTTCAGCAGCCAGTGAAGAGTTCCAATTCTGATTTTGCCAGTAGCAGTTTGATAATATGACCCTTTTGTTTTTTCTCTGAGTGTGGACTACTGGCCAGATCCCTTGGTTACTCCTAGCAGTACCATTCTCTAAAGTCCAAATGATCTATTCGTCCCTCTATATTGTGCAGTTACTCCTAAAGGACCTTGACCTAAGCCAGCCTGTCTGCTGGTGCAGAACCAGCAAATCTGTCTGCTTTTAATTTCCTTGAATCACTAATGAGTGCAGAATGGTCTAGAAATATATGGCTCTTACACCTTGTGTTTGACGTGCCTATGACGCAAGAAGGGTCTTTCATTATTGTTAAAGGAATACTCACCTGCCGCTCCGAAGGTCGAGTTTGAATCCACTCTGAGGTATATATATATTTTTTTTCTTTCAAAACTGACCTTGGCTCCCATGTCAATCCAGCCTGACATGTATACCAGTTAATGTTTTAGGAAGTAAAGATGGTCACTGTAATGGTGACCACATTACCCACTCAGCACTGATTGGTCTACGAAAATATAAGTATAGCATTATATGCTCGATGCGACACTGCTATAAAAAGGGGCCTTCACTTTACTTATTATATCTGCACAAGCAGAATGAATCACTGTATAGTTTTGAAACTTCCTCCAAGACTGTAACAAATACAAAATATCAATGCAAAAATTTTCGCCAAGAGAAACATTGGTGCAAGTCAAACTTTACGGCTCCCTGAGTGAATTACAGAAGACAGCAAAGTTAATACTAGAGACAACACTGCAGATATAGATAATTTATTTCAAGCGAACGGCAAAAAGAAGAATAACAAGTTTTGAAACTCTAATTCATAAACTGTAACGACGGCTAAGTCAATCCTGATGCACAAAGGTGAATCATGTACAGTACAGTCAGTTGATTAGTGAACAATTATGCAGCTGCAAACATGAGGTTTTAAATAAGAAATATGAGCATACTATGGGTAAGTAATACTATGGAACCCCCCCCCCCCCCCCCCCCCCCCCACGGACACTTTTTCCACTTTCCCTAAGCATGTAGTAAAAGGCGACCAGGGGTGTGTCATTCAAAGTCAGAGATCCTCAGCCTAAGAGGCATCGAACCAACAGTCTGCATGCAAATAAGTCAGATGTACATGCAATACACAAGTTCAAATTCCAGAAGTGAATGAACAACTAAGATATTTTACTGGAGTTTACACTGGTGAACGCTAAGAAAGAGGAACATAAAAGAAGAATATGACTCACCTTTCATTATGATTTCGCTGATCATGTTTTTCAGTCGTGCTATTTTCTTTCATGCTCAGCGTACCAAATGCATTTTCCAGTTTATTCCCACGATCCAGTCTGCTACTTGCCTTCTTTGATGATTCAGTCTGTATATTATTATGTCCAGTGTTACCAAGTGTTTCTTGGGTAATACTGCTGGAATAATTCAGCCATGACTGTTTGAAGTATTGTGAAGGTGTTATACTTGCTTTTTTTCTTGAATGCGCTGGTGGGTGTTTGGAATTTTTATTTTTCTGTTCATTTCTGTCTGCTTTTGCAGAGTTCGAAACAACCGAATCAACATTTTCAGTTGGAATATTTTTTTCTGTAATACAGCTGAGTGGTGTATGACTTTTAGTTGAGTCTCGAAGATCATCTCCAGGCGAGAAATTCCCACCAAGAGCTTCATCTGAATCACTGCCAATATTATCCTTTGACACAATTTTGGAAAGAGACCGATGTAAGCCACTGATTCTGTTTGATGATGTGGAGCACCGGAGAGTTCCTACAACTCTAGACCATGTTTGATGATGTATTCCATGAAGAAAAGTCATACTGAAAGCCATCTTTTTGCACTACAATTTCTGAAATATTCTAGTCGAATCAACAACACGAGATTCTGCAATCTGGAACAAAGAGGTATTATACATTACATTTTGTATGCTGAGATTTTACCCACACACACAAAAGTAATGTGTAGTAGCTTAATTACTGATATTATGCTTAACTTTTGGCAATGATGTATGACAGTTGAATTTAAGATACAATGCTTAGTTTATTTGCAGCAGTTCAGAAGTAAAACGACACTAAATGGAGACTGAAAATGATTAACATCAAGAATAAACAAAGCAAACCAAGCATTTACCACACTGAACAAACAATGTATAGAAGCCAAAAGGACTTAGTTTGAAGGGTTTCTTCTTCTTCTTCATGATCACTGACTGTAAACTCTGGCGGAAAGTTCTGTTTGTTCATCCACTTCTGTTCCTTCTTCTTCTACTAGTGTTCGCTTTCTGATTTACACCCTCAGCTGAATATGCTAAGTGTAAAAAAAAATAGCCCGCATCTTTTGTGTTTGGACGAAAAAAGTATTCAGCACATGGGAAAGAATCTGCGGGGAACTTGCTTAGCACAGTGGTAACCTTGGCTGCTGAGTGCATAGCATATGTTATGATTTACAGCTAGGCTGTGATATATGTGCCTTTCAGCCCAGCAAATCAAATCCTTAATTTGTCGCCTTTATAACAGCACTGTTAATTGGAAACAGGTCTATTCTTCCCTTTTCCCAAAACACATGGGTGAGTGCTAATCAATACTTTTGAAAATGTCTCATACAAATTCAATAGCCTACAATTCAAGGCAAAGATTTTGCCAATGATTAGGCAATAATAACTGACTGTTAGTCAAATTCAAGCCCTAGAGTTTACAGAAGGGTGGGTCCTTTGTTATGAATATAGTTGCAAGACCTTGTATGAAAAGTTAGTTAATTATTGCAAGATAAAAAAGGTTTGTCGTATTGGGTATTTATTTTTATAATATATACATAAAATATACGCATATTAGATATAGACAATATAATAACTGTGGTGCCTTCACCTTGATGGCAAGCAGTTTGACTGTGGAGGTCATGGCAACAACTAAAGCAACAGGCTGGCTAGAAATACAGACTTTCACATGGGCATGCTTTCTCACCAACTCAATAAACATGCTCAAGAAGATTGAGAAGGGTTGCATACGAAGACAATAGGTGAAGTCCCTGAATAGATCTAGGCTGAAAAAAATCAGCTTTATATTTGTTCCGGGGCATTCTGGTGCAAAAGGCAATGAACGAACTTACAAGACTTGCAAGTGATGCTCACGTGGGAAATGGACAAGCAGTGAACAGGGCTGATATACGGAATACCCTCAGAGAGGCGGCTCAGTTGAACGAATCAAGTAATGATTGTGAATCTGCAACACTGATGAGACTACACGAACATAACATCAAAAGGGGTGAAGCCAGAAAAGAGCACTACACAGTGGCCTAAAGAATAGTAAACCAACATAAAACTGGTGTCATAAGTACTACATGCTGAGGGAGATACTGAAGAGATACTTATGGACAGGATGGTTCGATGTACAATGATGGTAATCTGTCAACTAACTAAACTAGAGGCCATCCTCCGAATAATGGCCACATATTATAGCGTCCATAAACACACCCCAACAGGGCCTCGTTAGGTCATGTGTTGTAAACATTCAAAAAAGGGAAAATGACAAAATGGACTATTTAGCGATAATTATGGCCTTTTTATGTGAAAATAGTGGCACAGAAGTTGCAAATCGTGCCGGAAAATCTGCTCTTTGTGGCGCCATTGAAACTCGGCTAAATATGATCGGTGCCGCATTGATAACATAGTTTTCACCGCAGAGAGCATCTCCTGCACTGCGTGGAGGGGGGCTAAACTAAATGGATAGGACTTACGAGCAAATAAATTGGAGGAAGTTGCAGGAGATGCAGTAGCTGCTGCTCGTGAGTCCCAGACAACTAGTTTAGCCCCCCATCATGCTGCGCGTAGCGGCGCGGGGGATACGCTCAGCGGTGAGTTTAATCGGAAAAACACTATCGCTAACCTGGGTCGGAGCGTGTGGTCTCCCTGCCATATCGCTATTATCACGTGCATTGTTGCGTTTCTTGAAATTGTTAACGGACAGTAATCCTAGTTTTGCCGCGATGTGTTCGTCGGAGGAAGTCCGCAATTAACATGTGATTTAGGCCCTGTCAGGGTGTGTTTTTAGCCGCAATAATATGTGGCCATTATTCAGCGGATAGCTAAAGTAGATATAGACTTCTTCTTCTTCTGCGTTCAACATCAGTCATGCTAAACATTGAGTCCCGTCTGGGTCACAAATAGGATTGTGCATTTAAGGTCGCCACCGGTCCCCCATAGCTTCTCTTTCAATGTGGCTTCCTTGGGCCAGATCCACAGTCTTTGCTGGGAGAGGTAAGGGCAGTACTGTAGTATGTTCCCAGGGGTCTGTCTTTCTGCTCCACAATCACAGGCAGCAGATTCTTTTATGCCTATCCTGTACAGGTGTGCTCGAAGACCACAGTGTCCAGTCCGAAGTCTAAAAATTGTTTGTTCTTTCCAGTTGTTTGTTTATGCTGTCACTCTCTGGTCTGTAATCTCCATTCTACCTTCGCCACTCCCGCTTGAAAGACTGCTTTAGCGCTGTTTTGGTTTCCTTGTAGCTGTGTGGTGGATGAGGTTGTGGAAGATTACTCCCTGCTTTTGCCAACTCATCTGCTCTCTCATTTCCTTGAATACCACAGTGGGCTGGTCTCCACTAGAAGACCAGTTCCGCTTCCTTGGAGAGTAAGCCAATGTTGGTCCTTAGATCTGCAATTAGTTTGTCTTGTTTTTTGCTTAATAGTGCTTGGAGAACAGACAATGAGTCACTAAGTATAAAAATGTTGTGCCCTCTGTGTTCTTGATTGATGAGATGTTGGACTGCAGAAAGGAGGGCATTTGCCTCAGCTCTGAAGTTAGTGCAGATGTCACCTGCTGGTAGAGAGAGAGAGAGTTTCTGCTCTACTGCTAGGGGGTTTAATGTATATTCCACAACTCCCCTTTCTGACTGCTTCTGTAGCAGAGCCGTCAGTGAAAACCTGAGTCCAAGTGGTGTTTGGATACTACTCATCAAGAATAGAAAGAGCCAGTGTTCTCTGTTGTGTCTCTGTCTGGGCATCTTTTGAAGTGATCCCTGGTACCTTTAGGACTACATTTGCCTTCTCTGGCTTGCTTGTCCATGGTTCTGGCCTAAGTTTTTCGCACAGTGCTACATCTCTTTCAAGCAGATCTCGGTGCTGTCTGTACAGTTCTCTAGCAAGGTGGTTGGGGCTCTGACGCTTCAGTCTGTTTTTTTCGTTCTCTCTTAAAATTTAAAATGCAGTGGATGACTTTCAAGTCTTTTTAATTTCTCATACTGTAAAAGAGTTTTGTATTGTCTTCTGAGTTCGAGTGGTTCAGTATCTGCTATCCTCTCTCTCTCTCTGATGGGGGTGGTTTTCATGGCTCCGAGAGATATAGACTGATTATTAATTATGCGACAATCGCCTTTGCAGACTTCGCTTCTCATAATTTTTTTGGTACCCTTTTTAATTTTATGCTGGTGACATGCAAGTCCAAGTCATTTATTTAAAAGGTAAAATCATCTAGATGTGATATTTTGGTTTTCCACCTTTTTAAAGATACTTACTGAGTGTAGTTTACTAATATTATTAAAAATAAAAATTATTTTTACTAAGACTTCGTAAGTTAATAAGAGTTAGTGAGAAACAATGTGGTTTTTAAGTGAGACACTAGTAAAAGCAAATGTGAAACAGTGTGGTAATGCAATCTGAACAGTAGTGTCAGTTTTTATTTGAATTATGATACAGTATTTTGCATTAGCTGCTACTTGCTTTAAAGTTCGATCTCCGGCATGCCCAATTTGCAACACCATGAAAGAGAAAGTTCGTTCTAAGTTCTAAAGTTGACTTTCATGGCAATAACTTCCGGTTTGCAAAATATGAGAAAAACATTAATCTGTATTTTCCACAGAACAATTCTGGAACCCTTTATCATGGTTATAGATCTCTCTCTCTCTCTCTCTCTCTCTCTCTCTCTCTCTCTCTCTCAAAATAATACTTAGTCGCCCCCTTGTGGGATGCACAGTTTCGTTATTTTGAAGCCCCACGCTGGCTCTTGCCAGGGGCCGCAATATAGCCTGCCCCTAAATATGGTCTACTGGCTGAACGTGGTTTCCTGGACCTCTCTACGAGTGATCCTCATCCACATGGTGGCACTTTGTGTTATCGGGTGTTCATCGCTTGTGTGATGTCCTTAAGGGGGTTAAACTACTACTACTACTACTACTACTACTACTACTACTACTACTACTACTACTACTACTACTACTACTACTACTACTACTACTACTACTACTACTACTACTACTACTCTCTTTCTCCCTCTTTCTTTCTCTCCCCTTCCCTCCCTACCACCTTTGCCCCCTCTCTCTCTGTCTCTCAGATAGCATACTGTATGGTAATGGTAATCATGTCTGAATACAACCTTCTGTCTTTTGTTCTTCCCCCACCAATTATGGTTAGACCCATTCTTCACGCCTACCCCCCCCCCCCCCCCACCCCCAACAAATACGTTTTAAAAGGTGACTAATCCAGCAAGTATATTACCTAGACGAGGTCATTTTTATAGATCAGTGGGTGATGTGGTCAGTGTTACGCCGTCCACTTTTACTTAAAATGATCTTCACACAAAACCCATTTAAGGCTGGGGCGATTTCTGAGCCAAGGTCAGGTTTAAACAAACCCGACACCATTCATTTTTGAACACAAGACCATATATATATATATATATATATATATATATATATATATATATATATATATATATATATATATATATATATATATATATATATATATACATACATAAAATCATCATGTAGCAGTTCCTTTGAAGAACGTTTCTCTCATGACGGTCTGCCTGAAAGAGACTAGGTCTCTCGCCAGCTCTCCCGC